ATCGGCAAATTCAACTGCTTTTGCCTTTATTAATTAATAAAATTAATTTGTGTTTTTAAATAATAAAATCATTTGACATACCCGATGTTACAACAATTGTTCCACCAATGTGTAAACACATTTGGGTCCGTTGTACTCAGTTTCTACGAACTAACACAAATGTTGTCTTGTTTCACCATAACACAAATGCTTCACCATAAATTAAAACGATATCCATCAACTCCGAGTATACGCAAACCATTTTTGATACTAACTACTAAAAACCTATTGTAAACACCACAGCTAACAGGTAAATATCGCAACGACGATTGCAAAATCCGAATTCAGTATTCGGAGTCGCTGAGGCCACGTGGCGAATGACGCTAGAGACTACAGTTATCCAGCTATGTAGTGGTTGAATGTACTATAACTTCAATATTTTTTTCCCCGAAAACAAAAAGAATTTAAAAAAATTTTTTTACAATATTGATTCCATTTCTCAGGCTGCATCTATACCCAATTTTTTTTGGATAAGTTGTGAATCACCCTGTATATAAGAATCATCAATCTTTAGATTTTTAGATCAGATAAAAATAAATACAGCTTATGAAATTGTTTACAACACCCGATATATAGGGTATATTTTAAGCCCATGTCATAACTGAAGAGAAATAACTACTAAACTTACCTGAACTTACCTAAACTTAACTAAATAACTAGCTTGATGGAAAACCACAAGTTTCCGAGATATGTTGATATTTTAAATAAATTTCACAATTTTTTTAATTTCGCTGAAGATATATTACATAGACTAATGAAATTTGTGTTACTCATTTATTTAATCAAAAAGAAGATTCTCTGAATTGGCATACACTTGTGACAATTAATAGCAAAGATACCGAAACGCATTGTGGTTTCTGGTTAAAATAATCTTATCTCAATTCGCGAAAGAAACTGAATAGAAAATTTTTGTTCAAAATTCTATTTTAAATACAGCGTAACCATCAAATGGCGAAAGAACATTTTAAATTTATTGGAAGTTGTTACATCACGTTATTCCTACAAAGTTAAAAATTCCATGACAATAATTCTTTTTAATTACATTTTATTTAAAGTCGTACTTGGAAAAAAATTTTAAATGAATAGTTTTCTACGTATTTTCGATTTATTCATCTGTGTGGTAAGCAAAGTTTAAATTTAAAAATAGCAAAATCTCGAAAAGAATAGAATTGCAAATTAAATGAAGTAATCGAATTTCAAAAAATTCGTCAGTGTAGAAATTGTAGGTCATCCAATATCCCTGGATCTCTCCCACTGATTTGCATATTTCTATCAATTTGTATCAGTTTTGCCTACTTTTACGCTTAGTTATTTAAAACACTAGTCTAAGTTTCATTCTACATCAAGCATCTTCGGAGATAACTGAATAACTTTTTTTTAATATTTCAACACCCTGTATTGCGAAAAACTTTAAAGTTCTCGTCCATTAAGATCTTCTGGCCTAAAACGATAAAAAGGACACGTTTTTGAAGTTTTGTATGTGTAGACATTTAAAATCACATCTAAACTGAATAATTTACAAGAATTTATTCAGAAGAATGATCTTAATTTTAAAAAGGTACTAACTGAACAATTCGTTAACAGGGTTACGATATACTTCATATAATGAATAGAGAAGCACACAAAATGATTTTTTTCTTACGTAATAATCAATATCGTGACCACCATCGACTGGATACGGCACAGGAGCTCCTGGAGCAGCTACGTACGGTCCAGCTACACCAACTCCAGGATGTGCATAAGGTCCTGCTGCAAAGGGCGCTCCTGCAAATCCAGCTTCAGCAACAGTTAAAACTACAGCAAGTGACACAATCTGAAATACAGAAGTTCATTTTCTAATACTGAATCAATGTTATGGAAAAAGTAAAACAGGTTCTTTGAACATCTTGGGCTGAAAAAATAACACAACTTTTATATTTTTTGATAGGAAAACAATTCAGTCATAATTTGATCACGACAAAATTGTATAAACGTTTCCTTGTCTTTAGCAGCTTTGTGACACGTAAAAGGAATGGCCGACATTTATTTATTTATTTTAGAAAAACTCACAAAAGCAATACTATTTTATAAAATTATGTGTACATTTTAACATTCCGACTTCGCTTAGAATAAAAATCATGTAGTAATTTGGGTCAATAGAATTTATATTAGTTATAATTGCTTCAGATTCTACAGCTAATATGAGTGCTTTATTATAATCCTTTTTAAATGTAGAAACACCATTTAATTCAGTAACTTTAGATATATTTTCAGTAGATTAGACAACCAGACTGACACTGTTGCATGGAACTTTGTAACTTTGTTGTGACTATATTCTGTATCCAACTAAATAATTGCAAGTGTATTAAGTTTTTAAGTTTAACGAATGGAAAGGAATTGTGCAAAAATTAAGTTCTAAAAATAAAAAAGTTGTTACAATTAGCTTTTACTTTTAATAAAATGAACGTTGCCCAAATATATTTTATTTTGATTGTTGCTGTAGTGATAATACATGTCACCTTTAATCTCAAATTTAAAATTTTTTTTTGATTCGTTAAAATCTTGAAGCTTTTTTATTAATTTAAGTTTGATACATTTTTTAATTAATAATAGATTAGATAACAATTCTTAAACTGGTATTTAAATACTTATTGCAAGTATTTTCATTTTGGATGTCGGAAAAAGAGAGCAGAATCCTTGAACGTTTGCTGTTTTAGACTTTTAGTGGAGTCAAGATAGCTTAAAATTACGCATTATTTCGAAATAATTATGGGAAGCATGGATTTTCCTAAAACCTTTTGAAATTACTTGGAGATATGTTTTAGAAAAAAGTTATAAACTTATTTTTGTACGCTAATTGTTTTTTAATTATTGTTTAAACAATAATAAATAGTTTTTTTAAGAACATTTAAAATAATTCAATTAATTTTAAATCGAATTCTTTCAAATTGACAATATAGAGGTTTTCGATGTCGCTGAACAAGAATATTAAGTCGGAAAATGAAAATTCAAAATGGCTGATCCAATATGGCCACCTATTTTAAACAATTTATTTAACAATTTTTTATTTTATCAAACTCGCTTATATTTGTAATATAGGGGTTTTTGAGGTCGCTAAAAAAGAATATGATGTCGAAAAATTAAAATTTAACATGGCTGATCCAATATGGCCGACTATTTTAAACAATTTATTTAACAATTATCGATTTTAAATCAAACTCGCTCATATTTGTAATACTGAGGTTCGAAAAATTAAAATTATAAATAGTAAACAGGTTTTATTCAAAATATGTTTTATTTTTTAAAAAATAAATTTATTTCAAAATAATTAATTTTTAAATTTCATCGAGTTCTTGCTCTTCTGAAAAAAAACACTCATTTTAAATACAAAATTACAAAATCAAAATCAACGTCCCCTATTATTTATTTATTCATTAATTATTTTAAAAATGGATCATATTCATATATAAATATTAAACTCATACATTTGCAGGTTTAGCATAAAAGTTAACGAATATAAATACCTTAAATGCAAACTGAAGATTATTTGTAATATTAAGTAATAATATTACATTAAATAATTACAAGTGTACGACAGTATAACCTCAAAATAGACAAAATATGTGAATAATACACATTTTAACACACTGATAACTGCAGCTTACTCGAAAGCATAAAAATCATATTCATATACCATTTATAATAATTATTATTTAATACTTATAAACGAAAAACGCTTTTAAAATAAATAAAACTGTTAGTAACAAAAAATATTTGGTGTGCTCACTGCTTAGCTTCGTTGCCCAAACTGACAAGAAAAACAACTTTCAAAATAGGAGAACTTATATTCACAATTTCAGATACAGAATATGTTTTAAAAATGAATATTAAATCAATTCATCAAAAAACGTTATTTTTTGCTGCTATAACAATTTTTCACTAATTACTATAAATAAAAAAATATTTTTCGGTGGATTTACTTTTTTAAAGTCTTAACTTAATTCTGTGCTGGTTTATTAAACAAAAAAAAAATTGTACATTATTAAACTTTATTATAAATTTATAGATTTTTCATAAAATATTTTTATTCTTTGGTATTTTTTATTTTTTTAACTATTATTTCAATTTTTTAAGAAAAATAAAATGCACCATCTTAAAGTAGAGATTTTAAACTTTAAAAAGTGCTCTCATAAAGTTTCAATATCACATTTACAACTATAGTTTTTGATCTATAAAGTATGGCCTAAAAAGTCAAATTTGTCATTTTTTAAAATTATTGAATATGTTGGTCTCAATATTTTTCAAATTAAATTTTTGAGATTTTTTCCGTATTGCTCAGTTTCAATTGTCATTTGAAGAGTAATCTGTGAAAGTTACAGATATTTATTTTAAACACTAAAAGAATGACAGCTATTTTGTTATTATTGTACGAAATTATATAATGACGTAACTTTGTATACGTACTATATACATATATTTTTTTTCAATTTTAAAGACATAAAATTTTGATAGCTGGATTACTCTTCTTTCATTTAAATGTTTGTGAGGTCGATTTGATCAATTAGATTAAAAGTTATAAAAAATAGAGTAGCGCGCTCGGAGCCGCGCGCCCTTCGAGAGCTATATTTCGGGGCCGCCCGTCTCATTTTTCGTACGTTAGAAAAAAACTACAGCCTTCAATTCGCATTTTAAAAAAAAACTTTATTAACATTTTTTATGTAAAATTTCCTGTTCTTTCAAAATCTTTCAATTTAATTTTTAAAAAAATTAAATTTTTTTATATATTTTGCAAAAACTAACTAATTTATTAAATAAATAATTTAGCGTAGGTACACTCTACAGTTGGTAACTTTTTATATGTTGTTTCTGTTGACAACTTTACAAAGCGTAAAATAAAAAGTTCTTTCTTCCAGTAATTTTCGCGAAAATCTATCTTGACTCCACTATTTATATAAATAATAATTTTAATTGTAAAAAGTTACACAAGCTATAGGGCCTTGATTATTGATAATCTAAAAGCAATATACTAATTTTCATATTTTACTTTGAGTTACTTAAATCGCAGGTCCAAAGTTAGTAGGTAATCAACATCGAACTCATCCCTGATATAAATAGTTATTATATTTCCTTATAAGTAACCTACTTTACATTTGGAACACGAGATTTATGAGCTTAAAAAATAGTCCGGATGAAATATAAAAAAAAATCTGGTTGAAAATTTCCTTTGCTGTTAGATAATCTTACAATAAATTCAACATTTAATCTATTTCTTTACATCTTAAACATGTACTAACGTATTACCTAGTTACTTATTCAAGTCATAAAATATTGTGTTCCATACACATACGCACATATAAAAAATTTAATATGAAGCATACAATACAAACTGTAGGTATGCCGACTGATTTTTAATTATATTTTTTCAGTCTCACTTCCGCAATATATCGCTATAGGAAACGTATATGTTAGGAGGTACAGACGAAGTGTACGGTAAACTGAATTTACTGCGAAGCGTAAATCGTGATATATCAAGTTAAACTCCTCCTCTCACGCTCACGATATAAGTAGCTTTGCAAATATCAACATTGATTGCTAACCATTGCATATGGTGGTACACAGTAATCATGTAATTGTTATTTAAAACTTTTTTCATTGCTCCATTTCGTGTCGGATTTTCTCATTCACTTCAGCGTATATAGATCAGAATTTGTTATTTATTTTCATACTTGCTAAATGAAAATCGTGTGATTAAATAACCAGATAACTATTGCTTTTAAATTTTATATACTACAGAATTCGAAAATATCACAAAACTGTAGGTTTCGCTGGGGCGACGTTGATGCTTCCTTGAGCATCTGTTCAAAACTTCGCTTGAGGCCACGAAGTGTTAAATACAAGTTATTGGAAAAAGCATATGTCATCATTCAACGGAAGCGTCTTCGTTAAAAAATAAGGTATGAATATCTATCAACGCAAATTTCTTCTTAATTGTTTGTGAGGCATAATTTTGTTAAGGTTCACCTATTCCAAATAAGAAGGTACCTCAATCGTTGTCAGGTAAAGATATAAAACTGCCTCCCAAGAAGTGGTGGTACGTAAATGTAAAAATTTAGAGACTATCAGAACTAGAGCAAAAGAAATGAAAAGCGATTCAAATTAAATTGAAGGTCACGTGTTTGAGTTCTGTTGTAAAAAATGACAATCCTTCGTCGCACCAGTGCGATGCAGAGAAAAAAGTTTAACGTCTAGATATTAATTTTCAATATTTAGCGTTGAATTGAATTAATACGTTTTATCTTTTGCGATGCCAGTGGTTTGTTAACAAATTATGTAGACGAAATTAGAGTTAATTACACAACCCCAAAAATTCTGTGTGAGAAACATGAGTACATAGATTTTGTATATTTTTTTTATGCTGAATCCGAATCCGCATCCCAAAAACCGATTTCATTCAACGGAAGCGTCTTCGTTAAAAAGTAATGTATACATCTCCATCAACAGAAATTTCTTCTTACTTGTTTTTGGGCATATTTAGAGTTAATTACACAACCCCACAAATTATGTGTGAGAAACATGAGTACATAGATTTTATATATATTTTTAGCGCTGAATCCGAATCCGCATCCCAAAAACCGATATACTAGGGCATTTTTTAGTAAAACGCTAAAATATCCCTAAAATAGGGTAAAATAGTCAGAATAATGTAAAGTTTTATAATGAAAAACAGTAATTTGTAAAACATTTTAAAATAATATTTCGAACATTGGAAAGAAAGAAATATATAATAATAAATGTACATTGATGGGCAATGTACCAAAAAGTTTTGTACAACTTATCCCTCAAAGGTTTAGAAACCACCTACAAACCAGGATCTTAGTTACCCTTAAGTCACACATTTCTTTAATCCAATATTTTGGCCTGAATTTTATTACTGTCAGTTTTTGAGGTCGCTAATTACGAATCTGAAAATGTCTTCTAGCAATGGCAGCAGCAATAGCCGTAAAAAAGAAAAGGAAAAAAATTGTACAAACTCGTACAGGAATTGGCTTTTTACAGGGATATACGTTTTCTCAAATCAATTTATTAAGCCAAATGGTAGAACCAAGAAACCGGTATAATTATTTGCAAATGAACGAAACGACCTATTTGGAGTTCTTTTGTGGCATTTTTGTCCACTTGTTTTAGTTCATTTACTGATTCTTCATACGCTTTATTTTACAAATGCCGGTCGGAAAATGTTTAACCAAATTAATAAAAAATACTTTAGAATGTGTAGCTGTCAGAGTGCCTATGTGACACCTACTAAGTGGAACAAACAGTACACACACCACAATCCAGGAACGTACCTGCACTGCTGTCCGGATACTTTCAGAAAATCTAACCAAAACAGATTTTGCTTCAGGATGAAACCGTACCACTTTTTTCTCCACACACTGTGTGTTTGGCATAATTCGCGCAAATTGAACGCAGTCTGTAGGACCCTTAAAACGACATTTACAATAATCTCTTTAAGTATAAAATTGCCGCTTTTTGGCAATTTAAATACAAACAACTCCCAAGCTAAACACAATCATTTATAACTTTAAGAAACCTTAAAATTTCTAGCTTTGAAATTACATAAATATTTCTTTTGGCGCCGTTTAGCTGTCTATTTTTATACAATTTATGTTTTTGAAAAGAATATGGCTAACTTTAATTCAGATCATAGAGAAAAATGGACTGATCCAGTTTATGTTTTATAAACCGAATATATTGAATATAAGGTAGTTTTTTTAAACGCCCTTTAAATATAATATATTTTCAGTAAGGATTCAAAAAACGCTTTAAAAATATTTGACAAGAAATAAGAATTCAAATTTAATTATCCATGATTTAATTGTGATTATTTTATTATTATTTAACTGACCAATTTAATGCACACAATAACTTTTCAATAACAAGTACTCAGAATCCAGACTACTGTTTCTACAATTTCATGTTTTTAATAAAAGTGAATTTCACTTAAAAATTAATTTCTAAACATATAAATTCTATATTTTTTATAAATAATATTAAAATTGCAAACAGTAAATTTCAGTTGAGCACGTGCATTTTTTAAATTTGTGCTCCTTGTGTAAATAAAATTGAATTTTCTGCCCCCTATTAACATCGATTAATGCTAAACTAAACTGACCAAATGCTTGGCAAATTTTACCGTTTTCAGGCAGGTTTATATACTATAAATTATAGGAGTTTATATAAAAATGATAACATGTTTGTAGATAGTAAAATTTATCAAAATACCAATTTTTTATGTATCCGTAGTTGTAAATATTCCTATATCATAAAATTTTATTTGTACGTGTCAGAAAATAATGATTAAAATATGAGGTTAGACTAGCAACGAAGGTGAGCTTTAAAAAGGTGTTTTGAAGTTTATAATTTTATTTGAGAATGATTAAAATGAATAAAGAGGACTTCAATCGTTTTATTTTTGAGTTTATTTATATGCTGCTTTCAAACTAAATCCAGTTTAAATCTGTACGAAAAAAGAATAACCACACATACAGTAATTAATTGTCTATTAACTATTTTAATATCATCCTATATGCACATCCTGGTAAAGTCCTTTTTTTTACGAAGGGCGCGGCGGTAGCCGAAGCGGCCAAGGCTTGCCTACTGAGGCGAACCAGGGCTGTGCGGCAAAACCGTAGTGGGTTCGAATCCCGCACGCGGCAGGAAAATTCGAAGGAATTTTTCTGTCGTACCCATGGATGTTTGTGATTGTTAAGGTGGAGGGTAGTATGTAAGTTAGCAGGCAAAATGGGCCAAGCATGGCCTAATTGCTAGTAAGCTTCATAACCTTTTTTTTTTTTAAATCTGTACGAAAAAAGAATAACCACACATACAGTAATTAATTGTCTATTAACTATTTTAATATCATCCTATATGCACATCCTGGTAAAGTCCTTTTTTAGTACTAAAATACTTTAAGCACTTTTCACAAATGAAATTTAAAATGTTGGTAGGATAAAACTTTTGAATCTGGCATCTGCCTCTTGGCGATGCCATATATATTTTTTAAATATTCTGTATATTTATAACCCAAGAAACAGTTTACTTTTATAACTTAATTGTATAAAAAATTGATATTAAACATCGCTTGCCACATAAGGCGTTTATTGATTCAAGTTTTAGTTGTTAGTTTTAATAAAAATGTAACTTTTGGAATGAAAACAGAACAAAATAAGTAAAAAATGTATTCTTCTTATTTCTAGAATACTATTTGTACGATAAACTACAAATACGTTTACCTATGTCATTATTTAATTTCAAGTAGAACCTGAAATATTAAAAACTTTATTATAAAATTTCATTCAAATAGCATTAGTTTCATCCTGTTTTACATATTTTATACCTTGAAAACAAAGAAATTTACCACTCTCATCTTCAGAAACTTTATTTTCGTGGGTTGAGATTTTTCAACAATTTTGTTTTTAAGTGTTATAGGTAGCTACATGATTGCAGAAGTTAACGATGATACTAAGAATATTAAGATACTAAGTTGTAAGAACATAATTTAAAGAACTTTCGTCTTACACTAAGGAGAAATGTCACTGATACTGTACGTAAATAATAGTTCTATTTCTACTTACCACCACAGTAAGCATGGAAATATAACACCATTTTAATAAGATTCAGATTTAGAGCAGGAAACAAATACAAATGTAAGCGTAAGTACTTATCACCAACAATCAAGAAAATGGAGACGTCTTTGTAAAAATAAAAGTAATTAGATACACATATCAAATTTTCAAAAATACTGAATGAAGCTGAAATGATCCAAGGACTTTAGTAATGATGGATGTAAAAACCCTATGTAAAGAAGTATCTTCAATTTTTAACAAATCTTGTAGGTTTATTTAATTATTCCCAATATTTATTTTTAGACGAATCAAACAGAATATTTTTAATATTTGAGATTCTTCAGATTTATTCATTATCTTAAATCTTATGTGTGTTAATCTGTAATCTGTAAATATATATTATTTTTTATCTACAAAAGCTTACATTTAGAAAATTTATTTTGATAAAATAAAAATATATTTTTTATTTCTTTTGTATTTTATGTCTCTTACGAAAATTCACCAAACTTACATAGAGAAAAGCCATTATTTTAAGGAGATGCACACAACTGAACAGAAATGGTGTATGTACTGGGGGGCTCCTCCCCATTCAACTGTATTTATACTGAATAATATAGTTGCTCCTTCACTGTTTAGTTCTTCTCAAGGTCCATCTATTTTTCTCCAAGGGAAAAAATCTCTACCCATTCTAGACTGTCGTTGCTGAAAGATCGTACCTTATGTTTTGCGGTGTTGCTCCACAATATTAGGTCGCGAACATGCCACGATATACCCAGTGAATAATTTACTCTACTACCTGATTTATGCTTAGTATTCGTTGATAAAGACTTTTTGATCTTATTTTTTGCTATTATACAAAGAGATATTAGTAACTCCAAAATGGCAGCAGATATTTTTACTTTCCTTAAAAATAAATTAATTTAAAATATGTAATTCAAATATTTTCAATTATCTTAATGGGATATAAATGGATAAGACTAATAATAAAAAATGATGGTATCAGTTCCAGTAAGTAAGGAGGACGGGGAGGTCCTCTATATAAACTTATTTTTATTTTAATTTAAGGGTATTAATTTAAATAAATTCATTTTTTTAATCGTTTCAAATGGAATAAAACAATGTTCCTCTAGTTATACAAAAAATACCTAATCTCATAGACAAGATTCTTTACTGATGATATTGCGGACATCAACTACTCTACGGGTTTACATACACCAACAAGAATTAAAATATAGGGTGCCAGAAATTTGACTGCCTTAACTGTAACAGACGGTAGAATACATTAAAATAAACAAAAAACCTTATATGACATGGGTCCTAAACTCAACCATTTGCGAGAAAAAAATTATCAAAATCATCAACTTGATGTACAAAAGTTCAATTAATTAAGGAATATTGACATGTTTATCACTTTTTTATGCTTAATTTTAAAAAATAATTGGCGTTGTAATAAATTTAAAGTTCGATAAAATTCATATCGAGCAATGTGACAACGGCGCGGCGGATAACACGAAGTACAAGCTATCCAACAATACGCAATTCAGTTGGTATCTGGAATTGGACCGTATCTGAGTGTTTTTTGCGTACCAATATTTCCTTTTCTTGAGGTGTTTTCCAGCGATTGCGCGAAAATTGGATTTGAAGGTGTCGTGCGTGCATCGAAAATGGTGGTGGACATTTTGAGGATATGTTGTAGTTTGTTTGTACTTGTGCGTTTAAATATTACTGAATTTTGCTTTTTGGTAAGTACCTAAATTATTTTTAATACGTATGATTATTTGGAGGACGTGAATCTTTGGGTACTTTACATATTTCTCAAATTTATAATTTGATAAAAAGTTCAGTTCCTGTTTTAAGAGATTCATAATTACTTAAATTCGAGCTAAAATTTAGGCACAACACTATCATCGTACTACAAAATCAATACTATTTACTAAATTTTAGTTGTTTACATTTTTTCCGTAGGATAAGTCTGCCGCGTGCACACGCTGTGGAGCGTTAGGTTAAGCACGTTGTGATGAAGCTCTCCAATATTAATACTCGCTGTATTTTGAAAACTGTTAATCTTACGCCCCCTGTAATATTCAACATTTTTTGTTTATTTATGATTACTCTATCTCATGCTGAAGTAATGGCTGTCAAACTTCTTACACCCTGTATATCAGCAATATCTAGCGAATGACTAGTAACTTAATTATTAATTATTAATTAAAATTAAAATTAGGAACCATATGTCTAAATATTATTAATATAAAAACACATACCTACCTACCTGAAATATTGAAATTGTTAAATAACATAATCCTTCAAATAAATATTTTGTATTCTTGTTACTGTCACATCACCCTTTACAATGGCCAACAATATTAATGGAACAAAATTATTTATAAAGTACAAAGCTTTTCCACAATGTCAATAACATTGAAAGTAGACAATGAATGTGAATTATTTTTTTACCAAACCAATATTTGCCCTTTGTCCTTCATTTTAAACCCATAGAGTAGTTGTTTTCCGCAATATCATCAATTAAGAATCTTGTCTATGAGGTTAGATATATTTTCCACATATTTTGGTATAGAAAAACATTATTTGCCTTCATTTGATTCATAGGATTTTTAAACAAATTTTTTATTTTTATTTTTGAATTAGCTTAATACCTCAAAAATAAAGTAAAAAGAGCTAATAAAAATATATTTTTCAAATATAATTCAAAGTGTCCCGTAAGAAATGGTGCATTTAGCAAGAGAAGATTTTACACACTGAAATATTACGACTTAAATGAAAACAATTTTTCGTTTTACCGCCCTGTATCAACTTTTGGATTACGGGAAGTTTGGTTAAATCGTTTGGTTCTGTTCAAAATTATACAAATTTTGGGAACCGGCAGGGTATACTTTTTTATGTAAAAAAGAAAGGAAAATTAAAAAGTATATCAGAGGCAGATCCACTGAGGTGCCAATAAGTTATATTATGACATTGAAAATATGTAAAGTGGCGCCCTCTAATAAGTAACAGCTAATTTATGATCGGATTTGAATCCGTCGCCTCAAAGAACATCCAATTCCCAAAGTGTGTGCAATATCTGTAATTTTGATAAGGTTATTTAGAAATAAGGAAAACAAATTTTTCACCTTGATGCGAATATCAACTTTTGAAATAAGCCATGAAGCCATGATCGATTTCTTTTAAATAGAACCTCTATATTTTTTGGTAGAATGTAACATTCTGAAGCCTGCGATGTGCAAATACTTTACTTCTTCTGTTATCTACAATCTTATGATAACTACGTCTTTTTTCAGGAGAGTCATTTAAAGTTTTCAAAATGAATTTTGTTAAAGTACATAGTAGGTTACTTCTATAACCACGAGGAACAAAGGAAACTGTCCGCCATGTTTAGATTTTTCCAATGTCTTGAACCCCTTTCTTTCCACCCCTTTTCATTCCCTCTTTCCAGTTGTCCCCAAAAAAAGATTTATAAACTTTTGAAGATAATTTTTGTTAGAACAGCAATTTTGATGAAAAACTTTCTTGATTTAAAGAATTTTTATTGTTCAAATAACTGGAAAATGATATTTTTTTAAGATGTAATAGTCTTCTTGAAAACCGACGATATGTACAAAATCAAAAATAAAAAAGTTGTGTTTAATCGGTGTCTATACCATCGACAAAATACAGTATTTAGGTAATTTATGCTTCAATATTTCAATTTCTGAATTGTAATTGTTCCCGGATTTAAACATTGTCATGGATAAATTGAAGACACAGTTTGCATAATTCTTAATGATGCCTTGTCTATGAAATTATTTACGTTCATATCTATATGTACCTAATTACAGTTTGCGCTGAATTGGCATACAAAATGAATCACAATTCTAGTCAGATTCGATGTAGATAAGAATTTAATGAGCAAGACACTTTTACATTTTCTTCACGATATTCAAAGAACCAACTATTATTACGTTAAAATAGTACCTGCACTAACAGTGTATTTAACTAACTTCATTTATCGAAAGAAGTAGAGATAGGTAATATAATTGTATGTTGTAATATAATTGTATGTTGTATGCTGTTATTTATAAGGCATAGTTATAGTTTTAAATTAGTTACGGGAATACCAGTTTCAATAAATTCATAACCTTAGTAAAAAGTACAATTGCTTTAATATGACCTTTTGGATATATCTTGCTATTAGAGACAAAGAAAATCATTTAAAATATGTACAGGCATGGCTTAAAAAACAGGTGTAGATACCCTTAAATATTATAAAAATGTTGATACTTAATGGAAAAAAATAAGTAAACGTAATATTGACAAGTGTCGAAATTATCCTTCTTTTATCAGATAATGAGAATTGCAACACACTGATAATGATTTTATATTCTATGATAATTTTTGAAAATGATACTTTCATATAATCTTAAAATAAAAACTTATTATGTAGATAGTTATAATTCTCAGTTAGTAGTAGTAGTAGTAGATTGGGGGCGGCCGCAGACTGGCGATTAGGCCGCAAGTGAACCCTTTTTGTCTGCCACGCCGTCGCATTACTTATCCTCTGTCTCCCCGAACCTTCTTAAGGCTCTGATGAACGCCAGGATTTTAATCCATGGCAGGACCCTCACCTCATCTCCTTGCAACTTTATGCCTCAACCTCCCGAAGGCTGCTCAATGTTCCAGAAGATAGATAGGCGTATCCTCCCCTTCTCCACCTTTATGACAGGAAGAGTCCTCCTCAATTCCTATTAAACTTAAATGCCATCTGAGTCTGCAATGGCCTATCAGGACCCCCAACATTTGGTTCAGCAGCTATCTCGTCTTAGATTTATTAGGCCCAAGTATATGGGCTTACCTACATCCTCTGTTCACCCTCCAGTTTTGAACTAATGTTTGTTTGGCCCATTTATTAAGGGCCCCGTTAACGCTACCTTATGCGATTCCGAGGATTGGTTAAGGTGCCTGACCAGGTCCCCTGGATCCAAGGCGAGCCAATTGATCTGCCCTCTCGTTGCGAGGGATACCCATATGGCCCGGAACCCAAATCAGCTCTACCTTTCTTCGTCTGGCCAATAACTCCAGGGCATCTTCACGCTCCTGAACAAAGACAGACCTTGTCCTCGGGAAGCTAACCGCTCTGAGCGCAGCCTGACTGTCCGAACAGATAAAAATCATCTCTAGACAATTCCTTACCTCCTCCTTACTTGCCACTATTGAAATAGCGAAAACCTCTGCCTAAAAGACTAGTATACATACCCAATGAAAAACCTTCCAAGATACCACAGTCTTCCTTGTATATTCCAGCACCTGAATACTCATTTCCCACCCGAGATCCATCAATATAACGTACTAGAGATCTCGGTGGAGACATATTACCTTCCTGCTAACTAAAATAAATTAATAATTCTCAGTTAACTTTATCAAAAAATGTCCAAGAATTATAAGCAGCCTTTTTACATATTTAAATAAGAATTTTTAAGAAACAAGCAGTTTATAGAAATCTAAAACAAATCGTAGTCCTTGCAATTAACTTGTCAGATTCCTGAACTGTAAAGCCTTGAATACTTACATTTGATATAAACCATGTCTTATTAGTAATTTATAATTATCACTATAATCACCGAAGGTATAATTTTAGAGTAATATGTCAATCAAATACACTTATTTTAAAAATAGTAATTTTTATGTTGACTTGAAAATATATTAAATATTTGGTTCGCAATTATTAAATTATAAATGTTATTTCTTACCTTTTTAATTAACTGTAAGGTATTTCATGTAGTTATAGTACTATTTAATTTTAAAATTTTGACATTAATTATTTTAACCTTAAACTGAAATTTCCTGAAACTTTATTTATTTTATAAACTTCATATTTCAAGAATGTATAATATTAGCAAATTCATTAAAATTATGTATAAAATTAATTTTTTATTTTACGAATATATAGAACGTTACGTAAAAAAATATTTATAATGATATTATAAATTCTATTCCATATTATTGAACACTTCTTGTTGAATAAATGATGGAAGAAAAAGATGTAGTTTAAATCATTCCAAATCCCTAATATATTTATTAAAGTTTTTTATCTGAAAATGGTGATATATCTTCTACAAACGCAAGGGACATTAGGCAGTAGACGCTTGCCCAGTTCAGCAGTTTGTCACAGTTTGCGTTATAAAGTGCTGTTAATGTTATTTTTATTAATGACTAGTTTCTAGCCTTTCTATTTTAACTTGTCTCAAAGAAAAGTGTTTTTTTTTTCAAGTTTGACAATTTTGTTCGGGAAAACATTTTCATTTTCAGATTAGTTACATACGCACAGACAACTTACTAACTTTTTTCTTTTATTCAGAATAATTTAAAAACGCTTTCAAAAAACCATATATATTTCCAACAATACCATAGACTTATTTATAAAACTAATTAACAAATAAATTAATCATAATATAATGAAATCTAAATATCATGCGTAATTCAGAAATCTCTTGAATTTTTAACTTTTGTTTTGCAAGAATATTTTTAAAAAACAATTCCAGTTACGTAATCTGTTAGAAATAGAGATATATCAATTTAAATTAGATTCCAAGTTACGCAGTGACATTTAAAAAAAAATAATAATACTGAAATATGGATACCTACTAATTATAAAACTTGTTACATCAAGAAATAACATTATAGCTATTACTACTAATACTATGTAGTACTCATTTACAAAACATAAACCATCTTAAATATTTTATAAATAGAAAATAGAGAATATGTATTCCACTGCAAAATATTTCAAAATCAGCTTGAATAATTATTTTACTAAGTAATGGCAATTGTACTTAAATTTTAGTGCTAAAATAGTTTGAAATAAAATTGTACATTTTATATTTATGAAAAAAATATTTTTTTTGATCCATATTTTTTTATAACAAAATATACGGGCTGTTGCAATATGTTGTGATAAATTATAGTTTATCTAGCAAATAATGAAAAAAATTCACAAACCCTTCGTTTTTGAAATATAAAGTGATAAATATATTATTATACTTTACATTTTTTTTAGGTAATCCTTTCAAATTCGGTACATTTAGTACTGTTCTTCCTCGGAATTGCGTGAAATAGGTACCAAATATATAAGATAATATATTCCTTTGGTACTCTTTTTTAAATCAGCTCCCTGCGAATTTGTTTTTTGTGATGACACATCATTTAAGATATGACGGCGTCTCTATTTTGTACACGTGAATGGTAATTCTTCAAATTGTGGTTTGAATCTTAGCCACATTTCTTACGTGGTTTGTTGGCTAGCAATATGATTTCACATCTGATTTAACTGGCGGGCAAAAAATGTACAAGTATAAAAATAATTGTAACTGTGTCTCAAGAACGAAACGTTTGTGATATGCCTTCATATTAACCTTTTTTCTTATTTTTGCTTAAAGGATCACCTACAGCATTTTCAGTGAAGTAATATAACACCCTGTATAATAATATAATTTGCAATTACGTTATGTAAAAATACTAGTTGAAATATGGCTTATGGTTCATAGTTTTAGGATTTAACAGAGAATATTGTTTAATTACATGAGTGATAAATATGTATACTAATGAACAATGTGTGATTTCAGTTAAAGAATAAAAGAAATACTTTATGCTCAGTAATGACCTTGGATGATCTCAGGTTCTTCTTGAATTTCCACTGCATGAGCTTCTTGATGCTCCTGGGCTTCTAACCCTTTGGAGGGTCCTATTTTGCGTACCACGGCGTTAAATCCACTGTGCTTGTCAGCCGTATAGTCCACGGTACGAATGGAGCCATCCGGCTCCACTAGGGAGTATTGACCTTTTACTAAGTCTCCGTCACGAGATTCCTGTTGGCTCTTTATGTCGCCGGTGTGGTAATCGTTCACACCATATTTGAACGAATACTTGGGTGGAGCCTGTAATTTGAATAGTAAACCTATTAGTGGCGATTTTTTACCCTAAAAGTGAAAGACACAGGTGACTCGCGGATAGGATATGATTGTATTATATATTCTTTTTCTTTCAGTCTATCAAAATAATAATATCAGTGAAAATATACTTTTGGTACGTTCAATTTCAATAAAATAAATAACTAAAAAAAAATCCATGGTAGCTCTGTTATATGACCCCTACGCGCTTTCTATCAATTTGGACATTGTTCGTTTAGCAACCGGAATTGAACACTAATTATAATTTCTTTATTATTCTGAAAGATAAAAAATTTGAAAAAATAATAGTTTCAGTGCAATTCCTGCGACTTCTTGATGTAATGGTTTATTTGATTTACTCAGTAATACCATTTTAAATATATTACACAAAAAATATCCTTATATCACATTAGTTTTGGAGTTTTATAAATAAAAAATGCCAGCACCGAGCCTAAAAAATATAGACATAAACATAAAACACACTACAGAAATGAGACAACCCCCAAAACCAAAGCCAAAGGCTGTGCAGAACGAGGCAGTTCCGACGCCAGAGATCGAACCCGGACCAGAATAGGAAGCCTGGCCGAGAAATGCTTGCCACCGCACCCTTGACTGACTACGCTACCGTGGCGAAAAATATACAGGTCATCTTTTTGCCATTGCCAAAAATTATTATTTTTAACTTCAATGTCTTCTATCTTCAAAACCGTTAATAACTCAGTCACACAACAAAGTAATCTATTCCCCGGACGAGTGTTAGCCAACCCATGTATTTTAATCCCCATAAACCGAATCTGAAATGGAAAATACTTTCACCCTTCAGGTTTGTTTTATTCTAGTTGCAAGAAACTTCCCTTAGATTCTAAAAGTAAACTGTAGTTCCAGTGAGTGTTCGCTTGGCTTGAGTAAAGTCCTGGAAATAGTCAACGGCTCATATCCGTGGACTCATCACATATTCTGGATACGCTGCTATAATTTTACGTTAGACAGATTCAAGTCACAAACTCAAATTACGAATTTACAGCCCGGAGACACTTTCAGCCACTCATCCTACACAGTAAACAAATGACGTGTGCTTAGCTAATAGACATGGACTTTAATTCCTAATCCACAGACACCAAACATCCAATACCGCAGATATACCAAAATTGGGAAGCTCTGATGAGCATTTGAAAGCTCCTATTCCCCGAAGCCAAAATTTGCTACAACTTTACTTTTGGTGGGTTTCTCTTTGGATGGAGCTTGCGAAAGAGTCGGTCTACAACTATGGTAACTAAAATATTTCAAAGTAGTTGTGAGTTTGTTGAGAAATTCGACTCAATTATTAAACTATATCAAAATATTGCACCAAATCAATACAGAGTTTATTAGTTATTCCTTTTTCTTTTTTATCACTCTCTTCTATTTTTGAACGATCTGTACAGAGAATATCCCTTATTTCCTCTGATACGTATCTCTTTTTAACATTGAAAGTAATCTGCCATCAGATTTTCATATCATCTGCTTTGATACCTACTACTTAATTCCAGTGAGAACATTATAGTTGAAAAGCTATTAAAATAACGTTGTTCTATTTAAAATACGGAAAGTATAACTTTTTAAATTACATGAATTTTAAATAATTTTCATGCCTTTCAAATAGTGTATTACGGTAACAACATATAGTCGGAATAGGGCAAGGAAATAAGTATCTTGATTTTGTAACTAAGTCAACATTTCGATTTTATTTAAAATATTCTTCGGGGCTATAAATAACAAAAGGATATTCTATATTCCGATATTTTAAAATACAAGCACATGATACAATTATTAATTAAATTATTGATCAAGTCTACACAATAAAAAACAGGGAACAAAAATATAATATTTAAAAAAGTAGCAATCTTAGGCAAAGTGCACAGTGAAAAGGTATTCAAGTGACGTATCGGTGGCGTGACAAATAGCAGACATTTACTACAGCCTTTGTAAACAAATGCGGCAGCGCGCTAGCGCGCGTTGGGTAAAGTGATGGTGAGGTGGTCATTTGCAAGTGGTACACCACTTGCAAGTCATAAGAGAGACCATAAGTCTCTGACATGTTCAATTTTCAACTGACAAGTGGCAAAAGCTTCTTTTGTAGGTACCACTCCAGTTCCTATTTGTCTATATGAGAAGATAAGGTGACAAATATAGTTAGTTTTTTAATTTTGAGTTTTATTGAGAGCACCTACACTGTAGTATTCAAAATTTTTGCAATTTTTTTTTAAATAGGAAGCAGTTAATATTTTCTACTTCGGGAATTCTTCTAAATGTAAATCTTGACATAAACCTCATGTAATAATATGTTGACATTATCATAATTAGTTAGTCTTTATTTCTATGGAAGCATTAATTTTGTTGCTTCGGAGTTGCATATTGAGGTTTGCAAATTAAAGAGCATCCTCATCCTCGATCTTTTAAACTGGTAAATCAGTACCACACTAGCGCTACTTGCCATTTCGGTACGTGTTGGTACCACTTTGCTGTCATTCTACTGCCACACTACGGTCTTACTATCCCTATGATATATGCCATTCCTATACCAAACCACTACCACACCACTCCAGACCGCGTCTTTCCTTACCTCCTTCAAAATAAATATTAAGATATGTATATGAGCTGCAAATTTATGGCAAGACAAACAGTAAACTAAAAAACGTTGACAACAAGAAAAGGATTATACACTAGGTGTTATCATTTGATTACTATTTGATAACTGTATTAACAAAGCTATTGTAAATTGCATTCAATTGAAGTAAAATCGAAACATCGGATTAGTCATTAAATCAAGATACTTATTTCCTATCCCATTTGTCCGGCCGAACTTTAAATAAACGTAATCAGTTTATAAGTAACGTTTATACGTAAACGTTACAAGTGTTATCATAACTAGGAAAATTTAACAAAATAAAATTACACTAATATTTTAGTTAAATTAAAGCCAGTGGAAGAAATTTTAGACTGAACTATTTAATGAGTTGCACGTGCGTGCTATTTTAAATAACTCAAAACTGTGAAGTTGTTCTACATATAGAAGCTTAAAAAGGGAGTTATTGTAGTGCTGAAAAACTGTAAAATAATATTAAAATTCTATAAATTCACGTAGATTAGCGGAGCATTTCATTGATTATTCAACTGAAGGTTAAAGTATCAATAAACGTTCCTATTCTGATTGGAGTATTACTGAACTTCAGAGTTACAGGACTAATTTTGTCTTTGTATGTCCAGGACTTGTCTGCGGTATTGGGAAAATGCTTGCCACCGCACTCTTGACTGACTACGCTACCGTGGCGAAAAATATACAGGTCATTTTTTTGTTTTAAAATTACAAAATTTTCAGAATCTGGGAAAAAATTCAAATTCGCTTGGCATGCAAATGACAGACTATAGGAATATCTAAACTATTGCCAAGAATTATTTTTTTTTAACTTCAATGTCTTCTATCTACAAAACCATTAATAACTCAGTCACACAACAAAGTAATCTATTCCCCGGACGAGTGTTAGCCAACCCATTTTAATCCCCATAAACCGAATCTGAAATGGAAAATACTTTCACCCTTCAGGTTTGTTTTATTCTAGTTGCAAGAAACTTCCCTTAGATTCTAAAAGTAAACTGTAGTTCCAGTGAGTGTTCGCTTGGCTTGAGTAAAGTCCTGGAAATAGTCAACGGCTCATATCCGTGGACTCATCACATATTCTGGATACGCTGCTATAATTTTACGTTAGACAGATTCAAGTCACAAACTCAAATTACGAATTTACAGCCCGGAGACACTTTCAGCCACTCATCCTACACAGTAAACAAATGACGTGTGCTTAGCTAATAGACATGGACTTTAATTCTTAATCCACAGACACCAAACATCCAATACCGCAGATATACCAAAATTGGGAAGCTCTGATGAGCATTTGAAAGCTCCTATTCCCCGAAGCCAAAATTTGCTACAACTTTACTTTTGGTGGGTTTCTCTTTGGATGGAGCTTGCGAAAGAGTCGGTCTACAACTATGGTAACTAAAATATTTCAAAGTAGTTGTGAGTTTGTTGAGAAATTCGACTCAATTATTAAACTATATCAAAATATTGCACCAAATCAATACAGAGTTTATTAGTTATTCCTTTTTCTTTTTTATCACTCTCTTCTATTTTTGAACGATCTGTACAGAGAATATCCCTTATTTCCTCTGATACGTATCTCTTTTTAACATTGAAAGTAATCTGCCATCAGATTTTCATATCATCTGCTTTGATACCTACTACTTAATCCCAGTGAGAACATTATAGTTGAAAAGCTATTAAAATAACGTTGTTCTATTTAAAATACGGAAAGTATAACTTTTTAAATTACATGAATTTTAAATAATTTTCATGCCTTTCAAATAGTGTATTACGGTAACAACATATAGTCGGAATAGGGCAAGGAAATAAGTATCTTGATTTTGTAACTAAGTCAACATTTCGATTNCTAAGTAGCTACTTTACACACTGACAGTATTCATTTTGGGGTACTTGCAAAACACAATGACCTTCAAATTCCTTAAAATTTTTCGCCTGCGTCGCTAAGCGGGGTGCTACCGCCCCCCATATCCCCCGCAGCTCTTATGATGTACGTCCTCTTTTCAAAATGCACCCCTCCTGTATTCAAAACCACGAGCCGCCACTGGTAGTGCATGTAGATTAGGAATTTAAGTTCATGGCCTAATTAATATAGCTCGCTATCACTCACTTTTTAGGATGAGTCTATGAAACTACCATCTGGCTGTAAATTCGTGGTGTAAGTTTATGACTTGAATCTGACAACTGAAGAATTTTAACTGATTTTTTGATTTTCGGGTAGCTTTCTGGTGTCCAACCGAAACAGAAAAGTTGCAAGTTTTGATGATTATGAGATGTCCACGAATATAACGTGTGGATCAGTTTCAAGGTTTTTTTCCAAGCAGAGACCCACCAAATATAGAATTTATGATATTTTTTTGGTTTTAGTTTTCAGATATTTTTTAAATCCCGAGGCGTTACACTTTGGATATCCTAAAATGCAATGAGCTCCACGAATATGATGAATCGAGGTTTCCAGAGCTGCACCCAAGGAGAAACGTAGTGAATGCAGAGTTTTGGTTGCATTTAAGGTTTCAGGGATGGTCTTTGGCGATTAAAATAACTATATGATGATAAATTTACAATTAGTTTTATTCTTCATCTTCGTCTATATTTTTATATGTAAAAATAAACTAGAAATCCAGTAAACCCTCGAAAATTGTTGCAATCAATATACAGTATGTCCGCGGATTTAGCTTACGAGAGGACAAATTGACCAAAAAGTGAAAGATATGAAAAAAGGCATTTTTGATAAAAGTATTTGATTATTTAGAGAATACGAATCACCATGACGAACTTCAATTTTGTTGTACAGGGTGGGTCAAAAACAAAAATGTTATTTTGCTTAAGAGTAAACATACCCTATTTTGCAAGGTACGAAAAAAAGGCATTCTTGATAAAAGTTTTTGCTTGAAAAATGAATAAGTCACGTTATAAAATATTTAATTAAGTTTTATCTAGCATACCTAATACATGAGCGAAAACCGAGGAATAAACACAAAACCTACGAACACAAGGGTTCCATTCTGCAGTAGAAACACAATTTTATGTACAAATTTTGGAGAATACGGAGATAGAAAAAAATGATATTCAAATTATAAATATTTTGTTTGATATGTCCAAATGTTGAAATTGAAAAAAGAAGAGGTGTTGCCTCCTCAAAATTTTCACATAACTTTTTCATAAAAACTAATAATTTTATACACGACTAATATACATATAAATGTACTCACAATGCTGTAATTTAAATAAATGTTCTTTGGAAATAACTAAAGAAAATAATTTCGCCTTTCACAAAAAAATAGTAATTTATTACTTACTAAATAAAATTATATTTATGTGTCTCTCTTTGTGGATAAATAAGCTAGTCAAAACGAGTAAGTCATCTTTAATGGTGTATTGTGCTGTAAATGCATGCACACAAATACATTGTAAATTTGCTGCAAAGAAAACTACAATGTGTTTCAAATATGCTAATTCAGAATCCACAGAAATTATGAGAACGTAAATGCAGTGCACGCAAGCCGTTAATAGTCATAAAACTTTCACTTAAATAAATCTCGTGATAAAATGTGAATTTTAAAGTCCCCTAAACAATTTTGAATTGCTTCTGTATTTTTGTAGTTGTATTGATAACATGTGGTCGATGTTAAGAAATTTCTTTGTTAATTCAGTTAATCGCTAAATGTACTGGTGAAAAGTGAAACTGTTATCCAGCACAGATTGAAATCAGTATGATTAGCATTATCTTTCACCTCTTTAAATACTTGCGTTCCGATGAGAAAATTACAACCACTATTACCATAAAAGAAATATAGATTAGCTAAAGATATTTCATTAATAGTCTGATGTGTAAAAAATACCCTGTCCATTTCAAAAATTTAGCCCAAAGGCAATTTCAAAAATAAATCTCATGGCATTGGGAAGTCAAAGATGTGGTTGATTTACTGCCGATTAAATATTTGGTTAACACAGAAAAAATTGTGTAAAAAATTATTTTCAGTTAGGAATTAACTTGCAATATATAATATTTATTCTCTTGCAGAAGAAGGCCCCAATAAATGGTTAGCAAATATTTCGCAGAAACTAATTTTTCACTTATACAACCTTTATCATTAGCTTCTCGACTTTCATGTTAAATGGTTAATTAATTTGTCAATTTTTCTGAAACATGAAAAATAAAAATCATTAACGAGTATTGAGTGAGAATTGAGTCATTTGAAAGATTTTTAAACCTCCTTACAACAATTTTATTTATTCAGTTAGTTTAGAAATTGTTTATTCGTTTTTGAAAATTTAAAAACTGTTTCTTCAGTTAAATAAGTTAACAAAAAATAAAAAACTTCGAGTTATGTTTTGCATTAGTAAAAATATCTCACACCAAGTTTGACGGATATCATATTATCATTTGTGTGGGCTATTTATAGCGGGCTATTAATTCTAATTTTCACTCATCCATCAGGATTCTTGTAATTTGTTTAAAACAAGCACGTAAGTGAAATTGATGTTTCTATGTCAATAACACAACTGAACATCTGTTTCCTGTTATTTCCTTATAATGAAATATATAATTCCATTAAACACCTAAATTCTTAATAAAATTCTATACAAAACGAAGTAAATTTTTCCGAAAACGTTTATAATCTTAATAAAAGAAACTCGAAAAAATAAAGTTATCAATTTTTTTATCCCCACTTTCTGAAAAGATATCCTTATAAACGCAAAAATATACGTCCAAACAAAAGTCTTGGTAATAGAATGAAGTTGATTTCTCCATAAATTAAACTTGACGATTCAAATAAAATAACTCTTATTTAAACCCTCACTTTTTTTTACTTTTATAACTTACATAGTAGTCAATGATATGCGTCAGCTCCTTTCCAGCATGTTGGTCATATCCTTTAGATTCTATATTATTTTCTTGTTGGGAATATGCCTGAAGTCCCTTGATTTCTTCGTTGCCCCCGTAATACAAAAACTGTTGATCTTGTACTGCATTGGCTGTCTCTTCGTGTGGCACATTTTGCTCAACTATTATCGGATAACCATAGATTACTCCAGAAACCATTAGGAATAAACATACCTACATACAAAATTAAAGCGATGTTATTAACATATTGTACAATCTACAACAAAAATATATAAAGTCGAGTTTTTAAAATGCGCTTGAATTGTTTCCTACGCCATCACTAGCTTATCAGTGTTACCTTTTTGTACCACTGTATGATTCTTAATACAGTGACAGAGAGCGAGACTGCAATGGAAAATCATTTTATAAAAACATATTGCGTTTATTTGACTTTGCGATATGTTATTTTAAAGTCGCCATATTTTTGATGCCGATTGAAACCAAGAGACAGACATTAGAAAATAAATTGTGTTTAAAAAATACACAATGTGTCCCACTTTTCATGGAGCCACCCTGATATCCCGCTCACCTGATATCCGAATCCTATACAGTGAGTCTCTAGACATGACCATATTTGATTGTAGTCTGAGATGGAAGAAGGGGGTCGATTTACAAAAAAACATTAGCGATATTTTTAGAGAAAAAAACTAGTAGGATATTCATAATCAGCATCTTTAGAAACCCCTTTGTGCAAGATTACATCGTTATGTATTCAAAGATATGGGCTGTCGAAAAACAATTTTTTTAAACATGAAATAATTTGTATTTGTAAAACGGGATCTCAAATGAAAAAAAATATATTTATTTTTTGTACAAAATAATGTATTGTACTGATATGAAATGATTCTATAACAAAATAATATTTTTTTTAATAAGGCAAAAATTCTAATTTGTACGTTTGCTGTAAATGAAAATAATAATTTTTGCCTTACTAAAAAAAATCGACCTCCTTTTTTATCTCAAAATCATTGGTTACGTCTAAAGACTCACTTTATAGGTATATATTCACCACCAAAGTTTCAAAATATTCGGATATCAAGTGAGCGAGATATCAGGGAGGATCCATGAAAAGTGGGATACATTGTATATATTTTTTGCATAATTTATTAAATATTAACTTACTAACTATTGATAGGTAAATACACATAGATATACGTTACTAGATTAAGTAAAACTAATTTACTTTTTAAAATAACTATTTTTCTTGTTTCATGAAATGTATAAACAAAATAAATGAAAATTCTTACCAATCTAGCACACTTTTTTTTAAACCATTTCACCTTTTTCAATAAAAAGTATTTGTTATTATTTTTTAAAACACTGTGTTTAGTTAGTGAATGACCTCTGACACTGACCTAGTTTAGGTGAACTATACCTATAACAATCTATTTGATGTGATATATAAACAGAATACTAAACTAGCAAAACACGACAATATCCAACATGTTTGTAATACGACATTGATCATTTAACGAATTTCTATAATTAGTGCTGTGTTTTATTAAGATTAATTTTATATTAAAATATAAAGCGGTATCTAGTGACGTGTTTTGAGTTACTTAAGTTATTTATAAACTTATTTATTTCAGTATTTAGTGATGGTATGTGTTTTCATTGTTAAATTTCTGCACGATATTATAAAAAGAATCATGTATCCGAATCAAGGAAGATGAGATTTGACAACAATACCAGTTTGGTATGCGCACGCAGCTAGCACACGCTGTTGTTTGAGGTTACACTAACCTGTCTAGCGGCGGGGTATGAAAATTACGGGAAAATGTTTAAATTAAAATTCTGTTTTCACGACAGTATTTGAGGAAGCATATTTATCATCTGTGATTCCAACAATCAAAGGTAGCCTGGGTATAAATATGTTTCTCATTCATTTTCTCATTCAAATTTACTGATACAAAGTATGTAAAATATTATACAAAATTCTTTGTCCTGGTGTTCTAAGTAATGTATTGAAAAAGTGTATGGTAAATAAATACCATTTCATAATATCTAATTTATACCTACGACTACAATCTGGACAGCAACTACCTCCAAAACCTTCAAGCATGTTTCATTTTATTCATATGAAATGACAAAGGGCGTTAGAAGGCGCTTAATATTTGTGAAATGTATGTCAATTTTCTTTTGAATATATATGTATAAATGATAGACAAAGAAAATTAGGGTAAGGCCACAGGCATCTATTCCAATAGTGAAGATATATAAATCTTTAATTAAAATTCCCAACGAGTTGACGATTTATCTACAATAAGGAGATGATACACATACACTCAATTAGAATTACAAATGCAATGCTATTTGCAAAGGAAGTTACTGCAGAATTCACTTTCATTTAAATAAGTACGTATTCCGTAACACTACAGATAATCAGTATTATACGAGATCAGGGAGCACATACTAATGTTTTTCATTCATATGTAAATAGCACTATCTATTCTGTACAACCAATTTATTTTTATTACTCTGCTTGAAAGTGAACTTTTAATCAGCTACGAGATCAAAATATTTTAACATTGGAAATGATTAAAGGATCGGCAATGTTAGGAAAATTTAAAGAACCTAATAGTTTATAACTTTCAAAGTGTTACAAATGCACGGGCGCTACCGCTGGGCGCAGGAGTGATCCGCTCGGAGTGATTTTAGTGTCGTTAAGTTGGACCTTTCTGCGTCGAATAGAAGTAGTTGCGACATTTAACGATTGAAGAGTGGAAATATGGATGAAAATGCTACATTTTGCTATTTTTATAAGACTCAGTTGATGTTTAAGTGCTCTAACTTAAGTATGACTATAGAATTTTCGGCGGATTTCAGTTGTTTTCTAATTCTAGAGGTTGGTGGCAGAAACTTATACAGGGTAGTATCTTTTTTAGTTTTATCGTTTCCGAGATACAAGGTAATTCTTATTTTTGAGCAAAATTTACATAAATCTCTCTTTTTATACTAAATATCGTGAAATGGTTTAAATATTCTGTAGGCATTTTATTTAAATACATTCAATAGTGTTTTTATAAATGTATAAACAAATTCAATTATACAGTGCGTCCCAGAAGTAACGCAAAAAAATTCATATTTTATTTTGTGTTGAGTTTTCACAAAAACGCTAAAATACGTCAATTAGTAAATTAGAATTGTCGTTTTGTCACGTTGCTTAAACCTTTTTTGCGCTATGTTTCATAAACCTATGACGTCATCGACATTTTTTTAAATAGCACCACCTAATATTTTAAGCATAAATGGATAGCCCTTTTGAAGGGAAATGCGTCGATATAGGGCTTACTTTAGTTTGACAGGAGCGAAAAAAAGCCAACGAATGGAATGAACATGGTTTGAATTAATAACAAAAATAGGTATCACTAACTTATGCGCGAACAGTGCTATAGCAAAAAATCTGTTTTGGTTGATTATTGGCACATGTTTTTATGTAGATTGGGTAGGTACACCCGATCACAGTGGCTATGTAAGCATTGTTCTGAAGACGACAGTTAGCGAATGCAATAGTGCCTCATATCATTGTCACAGTTACAAATACCATAACTTTACATTACGATGGTGTTGTGTTTAAATGAGAAACAAAGAACTGAAATCTTAATTATGGTTGAATACGGAGATATAGGATCCGTAGTTATGATGAAATATGTCAATTATTCAATGCCAAGTATCCAGAACAACCAACACCTCCGTGTACAGTATGCAGATTAGTACCCAAATTTGAAGACGCTGGCCATGTTAGAAATGTGTCTAGATCTAGACGGCCAACGACAGTGACAGAAAATGATAGGCAAAATGTTATGTTTAGCTGTCACTGAAAATCCACACATTGCCATTCGTCGTATCGCCGCAAACGCCAACATTTCAGTACATAAAAACGTACCCACAATCAACCAAAACACAAAACATCCCCAAATTTCCATTTTATACTGTGGCACTGTTCTCGCATCAGTTTATGATACCTACTTTTGTTGTTATTTTAAACCATGTCCATTCCAGTCATTGGCTTTTTTTCCGCTCCTGTCAAAGTAAAGTAGGCCAAACCCTATATCGACGTATTTCCCTTCAAAAGGACTATCAATTTATGCTTAAAAAATTAGTTGGTGCTATTTAAAAAAAAATTCGATGACGTCATAGGTTTATGAAACATAGCGCAAAAAAGGTTTAAGCAACGTGACAAAACGACAATTCTAATTTACTAATTGACGTGTTTTAGCGGTTTTGTGAAAACTCAACACGAAATGAAATATGAATTTTTTGCATTACTTCTGCGACGCACTGTATACGAGTGATAAGGTCAGAAAGTCAGAAGTTTGTTTGGTAACAAACTTTTTAAAAATATAATGTCATTTATTATTTTTAACAATAAATTTATGACATCAACTTCTGGCGTTACTATTTAACTCAACTTACGTTACTATAAAACTAGGACTATAAAACTAGATAGTAAGAGAGATATTGAGTATCACAATTTTATTTTCGAGATAAATAGTTTTAGAGATAACAGAGATATTAATTCAAATATAATTTGGTTCAAAATTTGGTGGTAGTAGTAGTAGTAGTGATTTTAGTTAAAAGTTATATAAGTTGGGATTTTAACTAACAAACTAAAAAAGAAACTAATAAAATTTCGTAATGTCCTTATCAACCCGCCCAGAAATGTTCTAAATTTTAAGTATACGGCACAAACAGGATGCTAGCAAATTCTGATTTTATCAGCAGATTGTTACTATAAGATTTAAATAAAAGACACTATCAATTTTGCAAAATGAGGAATATCTAAAATGTATGCCATTTTTTATTTATTTTCTATGTTTGTTGACTATACAGGGTCTTAAAAAAAGAGTTTAAAATATTTCAGGAGGTAATAGTATGAACCAAAATAAGCAGAAAAATCTTAATAAACATGGGTCCGCAAAGTAACGGTTGCGGAGATATGGACCACTATTCGTTTTTCAAACATTTTATTTTATTAGGAATAAACCGACAAAGGAAGCTTTTAACAAACAAAAAACAAAGTTACAGAAGATGTTCAAAGTGCCCTCCGTCCATTTCCAAGCAGGCACGACATCTTCGTCTCAACGATATTCGAACTCTTTCGAAAACACCCTCCTTGGTTTGGATTTCTTGACACTTTTGATTAATCCGTAGCTGCA